TATTGGAGCAGTGAGATAGGCTATGATCTTGTGAGAAATGTAATGCCTCTGAACAAATTCGAAAAGATCAGACGTTTTATACATTTCAACGATAACTCTAAACATGTCCCACGTAATACTCCAGGACATGACAGATTACATAAGCTTCGCCCAGTAGTTGATCATCTGAATGAGAAGTTTATCAGCATTCCACTAGAACCTACTCTTTCAGTAGATGAACAAATGTGTGCCACAAAAGTAAGGCATTACATGAAGCAATATATGCCCATGAAACCCCACAAATGGGGTTTCAAATTATTCGTACTTGCTGGTATTTCTGGATTTGCATATCGTTTTGAAGTATATTCAGGTCAAGAAAATTTAGGAAATAGACCTGCTAATGAACCAGATATTGGGGCATCTGCTAATATTGTTGTTCGGTTGTCCCGGGTCATACCTAATATGAAAAACTATAGATTGTATTGTGACAATTATTACACGTCATTAGAACTAATGCTTTATCTTGCAAAAAGAGGTATATTATCTCTTGGAACAATCAGACGTAATCGAATTCCAGATTGTAAATTACCAACAGAAAATGATCTGAAAAAGAAAGAACGTGGCACCTCCGATGAGTACGTAGCCACTATAGAGGATACTGAAGTGTCATCCCTGATATGGAGAGATAACAAATGTGTGACACTCCTCTCAACATATGCTGGTAAATATCCTATAAAAAGTGTTCAACGATATGATAAGAAGAAAGGGGGAAATGTGAATGTAGAATGCCCTTATGTCATTCAAGAATACAATCGACATATGGGTGGAGTGGATCTAATGGATAGTTTCATAGGACGCTACAGGATCAAGTTAAAAAGTAGAAAATGGTACCTACGAATATTCTATCATTTACTTGATTTGTGTATGGTAAACGCATGGCTACTATATAAGCGAGTCTTGACTTCACACGGAAAACAGAAAGCAATATTACCACAGTCGAAATTCAGAAGCCAAGTGGCAAATTGTTTGTGTATGGTTGTATCTAAAAATACCACCACACGAGGTAGACCAAGTCATAGTCTGGAAGAAAATATTGAAGCTAAACGGGACAAAGGCAATGCACAACATATTCTTCCAAAAGATGTACGAACTGATCAAGTTGGACACTGGCCAATCCATGTTTCAATAAAAAAAATAATTGTTTCAGACAATTTCACCATTGAGAAACTTTTATGAATTTGTGTACAATGTTGCATTTCTGCAACAACGACAAATGTTGAAAATATTAAAAAAATATGCAAATAGATTTTTTTTCGTTATTTTTCCCTTGTTTCTTTGATCATTTTATAACGAAAAATATTATTTTTAATCGAAAATAAAAAATCATGCATTTAAGGGTAAGTTAATTTTGAAGCACAAACAAGTGTCGAAGTTGAATTTCATTGAAACTTTTCGAAAAAAAAGTTTCCCATATGGTGCGCACTTTAATGGTGACACTGTATATTATGATTCTTATATATTCAGAAATGATTATTGAATAACAAAATTAGTTAGCTCCCCAATGATTTTATCAAAGTGGAACTGCTGAAAGGTAGGTTTACTATATCGTTTACTTGAACTGTACCTCGTACGTTTGTCATTGAAACAATGTCTAAACTAGGTGGTCTGTGTAAAAGACCTTTCTGCAGCATATAAGAAGGTTAAACATTTTAATATTCTTTGGGGGTACTAAAAAATACACGTAGTTTCGGGTGTGGAAGGGGGGTTAGTCTTGTATCACCAAGGGGTAGGGGGGGTTAATGAATGCTAAAAAACATCACATGATTCATGGACGATCCCTTAGTGATATGTAGTGTCGAAATAATGCAAACATGTTTGTATTCCCAGTATTCGAATTCGTGTACGCTTCATCAATACGTAATAACTAATAATTAATACTGTAGATAATGATTTTCTAATTGTCCAAGTAACAACCAGTCACTGGTTCTTAATGTCTTTTTTCATTGCAGACATTTTTGTGAAGAACTCAAATAAAAAATGAACGGAGATAATCCCGAAGTGAAGTCACTACCTGAAGTTAAAAAAATCAAAGTGTACGGTACCAGATGGGTGGTTCTCGCTATTTTTGTGATGTATTCTGCTTCCAACGCTTTCCATTGGACGATGTTTTCCATCATTGCTGATGTGATTACTGAATATTATGGAATTTCAATGGCTTGGGTCGACTGGACGACAATGATTTACTTTTTGTTGTATATTCCGTTTGTTTTTCCTGCCAGCTATCTTTTGGAAAAGTTGGTAAGTGTTTTCCTGCTCAATAACAAAAAAGGTTATTTCAAAAGTTTTGTCCATTTCAATATGATGTGTTTTTGTAATTGAATATCTCAATAAATATTCATTCTACTGTGTCGTATATACTGATCGATAGAGGGCGTTCCAACGAAAACTTGACCCACCGTAAGTCAGCAACTACTCCCCTATCTTGTTCCTCTATTACTTCTGTAATTTTTGTCGAAAGTGGTTCATTCGTTATCGAGAAATTAAATGTTGAACGTTTTATTTATGAAAAAACAAAACATTCGCTGTCACTCATTTTATTGAGAAAATCAACAATAGTAATATCAAGGCAATACAATCAAAGGATGAAGTGTTCAAAATAACCTTCATCTAGTTCCAAATAATACAGTCTATTTTCGAAAGCGTTCCTTACATTATTGAAGATGTCCTGAGTCAGGAATCGGAATTCCCGAACAATTCTCTGTAGCAGGTCTTCTAGATTTGTAGAATTGATTTGATAAGTAGTAAACGTATCGAAATGGACGGCGCTGTTAGTTTTTTCTGCACTGCTATTTTTTGTTTAATCTAGTTGTCGCAGAACAAAGAGTAGATAGTTGGCCACTGTCACTTCTTCACGAATTATTATTCCGTCATCCGGGTTCACTGTGTTCCAACATGGTTTATTCTACTGAAGAAAAAATAGAAATTGTTGCAACCTATTATTGAAATAATGAATGTGCTAAAGCTGCTGCAAATATTCATAGTACGAATCATTCAGACCACAACGTTAAACACATAATGGACAAGTTTCGAACTTCAAGTTCTGTTCAGAACAGAAAACATAAAGTATCCCGTCCTGTCAGAAATGACGGAGTTGAAGTTGCAGTTTTAGGACATGCACAAATGGATATTATCGACAATTTATCAGACAAGTAGTTCAGGAATTCAACGAAGATGATCCTGATCGTCGACTTCAGTTTTGTGAGGTGTTCAGCGAGACATTGACCAATAACCCAAACCTATTATACAATAGGTTTGGGTTATTGGTAAATTCAGACGAAAGTTCTTTCATGTTGAATGACGAAGTGAATAGACATAATTGTCATTACTGGAGCTTTGTATATCCTCATTTGCTGATGGAAACACATTTACAAACTCCACAAAAATTGCATGTTTGGGCCGGCATTTTTGGTAATCATATTGTTGGACCATTCTTCATTGAAGGTAATCTCCATGGAGACACATACTTAAATCTATTACCAGACTGTGTAGATCCTATGATTATACAAATTTTAGAAAATTATGACAATTTAGAAGAAAATGAAATGACATACCAGCAGGATGGTGCTCACCTACGTTTTGATGTTCGAGTGAGAGAGTTTTTGGACGAACGCTTTCCAATGCGTTGGATCGGCAGAAGGGGTCCAGTGGAGTGACCAGCTAGATCACCTGATATCACACCGATTGACTTCTCTCTATGGGGATATTCGAAGTCGAAAGTGTACTCCACTGAGCCTACAGATCTAGAAGAGTTGCGACAGATAATTTTTCGGGAATGCTGATTGCTGACTCCGGAACGGTTTCGAGAGTAGATTGTATTATTGTATGGAACTAGGTGGAGGTCAGTTTGAACAATTTATCCGTTGATTTTGTTTTCATTGATATTATTTTTTTCGATTCTCTCACTGAAATGAACGATAGCGAATTTTCTGTTTTTTCTTAAATAAAACGTTCAACATTCAATTTCTAAATAACGAATGAATCAATTTCGAAAAAAATTACAGAGGTGATAGAACAGAAAGCCTTCCAAATGATGTATCACTCGGTCCCCAATGCCATTCAAAAAATAGGGAGGGAAGTTGCTGACCGCAGGGGGCCGCAGTTTTGGGTATGATTTCCATATCAGAGTTAGTCCCTCGTCCTCAAGTCCTCGTCAGTCTCAGTAGCAGTCATACTGGTCAACAGAAGAGGTCCGATCCTGCTTTACGACAACGCTCATCCGTACGTTTCAAAAATCACCGTCCTTAATATAGACGAATTGAACGTCGAAGTTCACCTCACTCATTGTCAAACACTTCAATAACTTTCTCACTGGTAGAAACTTCTCCAATCAGAACCAGACAAAAACGGCCTTCGTCATCATCATCGAATCCTGTGCACCCAAGTTTTATGCTGACAGAATTATTCGACTTGCGGTATGTTGGCAAAATTGCACGGATTCGAATGCCACTCATTTCGATCATTGAATAAGTATTCACTGATATATTACAGTTTTGAGTAGTCTGATAAAAACGGACTAAACATTCAAAACAACTCAATACATTTGAATTGAAGGGGTTATATTTTTAGGAGTGATTAATTTTTGGGAAAGAAAGGTTTCGGCGAAACATCGGTGTATACCAGTGAGGGTGACAGTGTTCCATGTGAGTGCAATTTATTACCATTAATTCAAAGTAGAACTCATGTGAATGATATCTGATTCTTATTCCACAACGAATGTTTGAAATACAAACTGAGTAGGGAAAAGTATCTTCTGTATAATTCAATGTTCATAAAGAAGTATTTGTTTCGAACGAATTTTTTTTCTTTCGTGTAATTCAATGTTTATGTGAAAGTAGCTGTTTCAGGAGGACTTTCTTTCAGTTTGTGTCTGAAAGTAACTTATTTGCATGATCTACCCATCCATGTATAGAGTTACTCATTTTCAAATTGATTACTTCCTTCCTTTCTTTGGAAGATTCTCTCATCCTTTTTTTTGTATCAGATGGAGAAGTAGAAAGCCAAAACCTTTTTTTTCAAAAAAAAAACTCAATACAATTTCGTACAAACTTATTCAGGTAATTAGGAAAATGCATATTTTGATTCTGCAAACATTCATCAGTTTCACTGTACTAGACAGTAGTATCTAGTATATATCTACTGGAAGTAACCTATCGGAAATATAAAACATTTTCGAAGGTGCTTCTTATTCGTCTGGCAGAAGGACCCCACAGAAATCAATAGAGTGATCTTATGTAGACCCGTTTCGGAAGCGGGTTTTATCCCTCATCAGTGCAGGTCAGATTCAACTCGGACTCCACCATATTATGATTGTTGAAGTTCCTCAGGGTTCATTTTTGAGCATGTTAAGAAGTATTGCTACCGTGAATGTTAAAAATTCTATTATCTTCCTGATGACAGGTTCGTTCACACCCCAACAGCAACAATGTGAGTGTATATCTAAGATAAAATACGGTTTTAATCTATTTATTTCAATAAAAAAAAACGAATCTGATCTGACAAATCCAGTTCCTACTGCAACAAGGCATATATGTGTGGGTCTTATGCCATCAAGAAGCAACAAAAGAATATTTTTAATTTTGTTCATAATGTGTATTTTGCATACTTTGGTATTAAATTAGGGGATCAAGATAAATCTTGGGCTCCCCATATAGTGGGTGTTGGGTGTTGAAGAACAATAGTTTCAAAGTAAGAAAAAGTCATTTCGGTTTGGAGTACCAATGGTTTGGAGAGAGCCTAAAAATCACAGTGATGGCTATTATTTTTGTTCTTGTTCAGTGCAAGGTTTCGATTTAAAAAACAGAAAGGATATTTCAGACCCCACCAACATTCGTTCACCTGTTCGCCCTGTTCCTCACGAACCTAACTCAACTACTCCTTCACCTACGGATACCTTGAACCACATTTTAGACGATTTTGACGCAAAAACACATAGTAGCAGTAGCGACAGTGATGACAGCTGGCGATTCAGGTACCAATGACCCTGAACTTTTCTTTCAATCAGACTTGAACGATTCAGTACGAGATCTGGGACTCGGCAGAAATTTTAGGATCTAGACTCAAAGAAAGACATATGTTAGCCTCCGGTGTTTCATTTTCATGGTACCGATTTAGAGAAAGGTAATTTGTCCCTTTTTTTATACAAGAGGGTGCCCTAGTTTTCAGCGACAATGTACCCGGCGTCATGGAAATGTTCAACATAACGTATGAACCAGAGAAATGGAGACTTTTCATCGATTCATCAAAAAGAAGTTTGAAAGCTGTACTTCTTCACAATAGGAACCAATATGCTTCTGTGGCCTATTGGACACTCAGTCCATTTGAAAGAGTGCTACGAAAATCTTGAATTTGTTCTTAATAAGTTCTTAATGAACTCTGATCGTAAGTGGACCATTTGTGGAGGTTTGAAAGTTATTTCAATGTGACAAGGTCAACAAAGTGGTTACACTAAGTTTCCATGTTTCCTATGTGAATGGGATAGCCATGACAGGAAACAACACTATGTCAAGCAGCTGTGGTCAATAAGAAATAGTCTTATTCCTGGAGCTAAAAAGGGTGAAAAACAAAGTTTAGTGGTTCCTAAAAAATCTCACTTCCACCACTCCATATCAAATTGGGGCTAATGAAACAGTTTGTGAAAGCATTAGACAAAGAAGGAGATTGTTTCAAGTATCTTTCTGAAAAGTTTTCTAGTCTATCCGATGCTAAACTAAAAAAGGAATCTTCGTTGGGCCTGACATAAGAAAAATCTCAAAAGGTGAAGGCGTTGTCATTAAAATGGAAATGAAAGAAAAAAATACCTGGAATTCACTTAAACTTGTTATAACAGGCTCTCTTGGAAACAAAACAGAACCAAACTACAAAACTTGATTGCTGAAGTGATACAAAACTATAAAATGTTGGACTGCAACAAAGTCCATTTCCTTCACTCACATCTGGACTACTTTCTCGATAATATGGAACGCAGATACCAAGGTCGGTGGAATGTTAACATGATGGCAGACTACTGTTGGATGGTAAAAAGGGAAAGTTCACAAGAAAACAGCCGAAAAAGTACCAAAAGAAGTTTTTCGTAAATACTTGTGTATCACTATTATGCTTAATTTAGCTTGGTAGCATTGTTTCTTTGCTTTTACTTCATATTTAAATAAAAATAAATCCACAATTTCTAGTTTTTTTGTACTTCTTCAATTATTCCATCCTTATTTTGTATGCAAACCTCACGTGATAGAAAAAAACAA